CCAGAGCCACCCCAGTCCATGGCCAAAACAGGAGGATTTGGGAGAATCAGGATGTCCAGGGACTCCCAGAGCTGTGTCCCCAATATTTGGCATCCCCRTCYATCTCCCAAGCACCTTCTCATCAGCACCCACCCCAGGAGGATCCCAAGCTGGAATTCCCAGGACACTGCAGATCCCACTGCCCAGAGCCACCCCGGTCCAAACCAGGAGGATTTGGTGATTTAGGGTAGCACTGAGGGGTCCAGGGGCTCCCAGACCTGTGTTCCCACCCCAGCCCTCTGCATCCCCAGGCTGGCATCCTCAGCATGCTCTGGATCCCTTTGCCTGGTCCAAAGCAGGAGGATTTGGTGATTTAGGGAGAGTTTCACTCAAAATTCCTCAAAGCAGGAATTCCCAGCCCAGCAATGGGAATCCCATCCGGCAGCATCCCTTTGGATTTGGGATGAGCCATGTCCTCGTGCCTTCCTGCCTGCTCCAAACAGCTCCCACCCAACCCATCCACCCCAATTCCCTGCTGGCTGTCCCCTCCCGGCATCCCGGGACTCACCCCAGGGCRAAGACATCCGAGTGCTTGGAGAAGGGCAGCTTGTCCTCCTCGGTGTCCGGAGAGAGCTGCCGGATGATCTCGGGAGCCAGGTGGCACARCCAGCCGTTCTGGATCCGCAGCTTGTTCTCCCTCCTGCCGGGACACGGAGCGGGGCCGTGGGTACAGCACCACCACTACCACATCCCCAGGGAGCAGTACCCACCCCTTCCCAACCCTTTCTATGGATTTAAGCCTGGTTTTCCCCACATCATCCTTGCAAAATCAGGTTCTAACCCTGCTCTGAGAAAAGTTGTCCCAGTGGCAGCCAGAAAGAATTTGGGTTGGGACACGGAGCTGCAGCTGTGGGTGCCATGGGGGTGAGAGCACCAGCACACTGCCAGAGAGCAGCCCCCAGCTTTCCCAACCCTTTCCATGGATTTAAGCCTGGTTTTCCCCACATCATCCTTGCTAAATCAGGTTTTAACCCTGCTCTGAGAAAAGTTATCACAGTGACAGCAGGACAGAATTTGGCCTGGGACACGGAGCTGGAGCCATGGGTACAACACAACCACCACATCCCCAGAGAGCAGCCCCCAGCTTTCCCATCCTTTTCCATGGATTTTAAGCCTGGTTTTCCCCACATCATCCTTGCAAAATCAGGTTCTAACCCTGCTCTGAGAGAAGTTGTCCCAGTGGCAGCCAGAAAGAATTTGGGTTGGGACACGGAGCTGCAGCTGTGGGTTCCACGGGGGTGACAGCATCACCACACTCCTAGAGAGTGCAGATGCAGCCCCCTGCTTCCCACCATTTCCCATGGATTTAAGCCTTGTTTTCCCCACATCATCCTTGCTAAATCAGATTTTAACCCTGCTCTGAGGAATGTCATGGTGGCAGCAGGACAGAATTCAGGCACAGGATGGACAGAACGGGAGCTGTGGGTACAGCACCACCACACTCCCAGAGAGCAGCCCCCACCCTTCCCACCGTTTTCCATGGATTTAAGCCTGGTTTTCCCCACATCATCCTTGCTAAATCAGGTTTTAACCCTGCTCTGAGAAAAGTTATCACAGTGACAGCAGGATAGAATTTGGGCTGGGACATGGAGCTGGAGCTGTGGGTACAACACCACAACCCAATTCCCAGAGAGCAGCCCCCACCCCCCACCCTTTTCCATGGATTTTAAGCCTGATTTTCTCTTATATCATCCTTGCAAAGTCAGGTTTTAACCATGCTCTGAGAAATGCTGTCCCAATAGCAGCCAGAAAGAATTTGGATTGGGACACAGAGCTGCAGCCGTGGGTACCACAGGGGTAAGAGCACCAGCACACTGCCTGAGAACAGCCCCAGCTTCCCACCCCTTTCCATGGATTTAAGCCTGGTTTTCTCTTATATCATCCTTGCAAAGTCAGGTTTTACCACAACATTAACCCTGCTCTGAGGAATGTTGTCCCAGTGGCAGCAGGACAGAATTTGGGCTGGGACATGGAGCTGGAGCCATGGGTACCACAGGGGAACATCACCACCACACTCCCAGAGAGCAGCCCCAGCTTCCCACCCCTTTCCATGGATTTAAGCCTGTTTTTTCCCACATAATCCTTGTAAAATAAGATTTTAACTCCACCATGATAAATGTTGTCCCAGTGGCAGCAGCAAATGTCCCATAGCATGCATGGGCCCTTTTTCTGGAAAAGGAAGACCCTGGTGGGTCATGCCAGGATTTTCTCCCTGTTTGGGTTTGCAGCCTTCCAAAAAATGGTGATGGGAAGGGCTAAGGGATGGCTGTGGGGTCATCTGTCCACCTGAATGTCCATCTGGGGACAAAATCCCATGGTACAGTTCCCAGGGATGGGCTCACACCACAAAGCTTGGCCGGTTTTTGGGATTTCACGGCAGCTCTGTGCCTGCAATCCCAAAAGGACAAATTGRGATCCTCCTGTCTGCAGAGCCACTCTCAATTCGCTGGGACTGACTAGAGGAGGAGGACATTGCCCCTCCCTAGGGAAGGACACTGCCCCTCCCTAGGGAATCACTGATGAAGCCTCCTCATCCCCCGGGGTGTGGATGGCTCCTCTCCGCTTGTGTCATCACTGGGCAATGACACCCAGCTGAGATTTAATGGGACCCCAAAAAGGGCTCAATTACAGCAATTTGAGAGTTTATGACCAAAATTGGTTWTACTTCACAACCACAACGCTCTGAACATCCTCCAGGCCACCCCCAGGGCAGAAGCAGGAGCAGAGGAGTTCCTCAGGCTCCTCCAGACCCACCTTGTGCTCCTGATAATTCCAGAGCAGCCCTGCCAAGCCCAGGAATTTACATTTAAATGAAGAAGGAATAAATCTGATTTTCCACCCAAGCTCCCAAATCTCTGCAGGCAACGTCGTAACCCCAGCGAAACCAGGCCAGTTTGGAGCTGCCATTCACAACGTCACCACCCTTAATTTGACCTCCAAAAATCTCTCCGGAGATGCCTCTAAGGACCCAAAACTGGGCTTTATCTCCCTTCTTTGTCTGAAGAAAAAGAAAAAAACCAAAACCAGCAAAAAACCCACCCCAAAAAGGGGAGATCAGACCTGCAGACACTTCCTGTTCCAAAACTCACAGAGGCTGTGGATCYCTGCTCTTCTCTCAGCTCTCCTCCAGCAGCCCAAAGCAGGAATTTTCCCATTTTCTTCATTTTTTTTTTCCAGCAAAATGCTGCTTATTGCTGTCCAGCCTCRATTTCCTGGCCATCCTTCCTCTGTTGAGTCATCTCCTGGATTTTGTCCCCAAAAGTGACATCCCAGTCTTGGGCAGCGGTGGCCACACATTGGCCACCTCATCAAAAACCCCATTCCCYCAGGATCCCATCTCTCAGTCCATTTCTGGAGCATCCCTGACCTTCACAGCAAAGATTCCTGGCAAAACTGGGCTGTTTTTTCCCCAAATCCTCATTCCCTGCTGGAACGAGCCGTCCCTTCCTCCTGGCAGGCCCTGAATCCCAAACCCCCCTCCAGCTGCCAAACCAGAGGCAAACTCCACTTTACCACAGCAGGAGATCCTGGATTTCCTGGCCTTCCAAACCTTTGGCCAAGTTTGTGCTAAAACCTGTGATATTTATCCAGGCAGAGAGGAAAATATGGTATTTCACAGCATGGGATGCAGAGAGAGGCTGCTGCCTTTTCCTCTAATCCTTTGACCTCATCACTGGGAAATTGGGGGAAAAATCCATCATTTCCAAGGGGCTTTTGATCTCCTCAGCATCTTTGCCATGGAGGACCAGGAGGAAACTGCCCAAGCTTGGCCTCTGCTGCTCCCAACACAAAGGATTTRGTGGGAAAGGTGGGAAAAGTCAGCAAATGCTTATTTTCCACTTGAAAAAAACAGAAAATACCATTTCTGTTTTTTCTTCCCCACTTCTGTTTCTTTTCCACCCCTCCAGCTGTGCTTTTTCTACTTTTCACAGCTGCTGGAGCTCTTTGCTCTGCCATTCCTACAGCTGGAAAACATCCCAAAGCACCAGGAAAACAATTTTTAATAAGRAATATTTACCAAAACCCTCAGATTTAAACCCAAAATGTCACAAGGCTAYGAAAGCCCCAAGCTTGGCTCTCCTTTTCCCTGCCTTGCTCCATGCCCAGCACAGACACCATGGCCAGATGTCTGTAAATCCCAAAATGTCACCRGAGTGGGGACAGCACAGGGATGGCATCGCTTGGTCTGGGCAGCAGAGGAGGCAAATGCCAGGGAATTATGACAATGGAAAGGGAAAAGCTGAGGAATGAAGGAGCCCTGATGCCCAAGGAGCATCTCCTGGGTGGCTGTGGGGTGTTTTGGCCATGGGAATGATGAATCCCATGGGAATAGGTTGGTCCAAGTGGCACAATCTGCCTTGCTGAGCCAAAATTCCAGAGCGGAATCGTGTTCCATCCGATGGATCAAAACCAATTCCCTTCAAACAGAGCAGCCCCACGACACCGCAGGGCCCCCCAAACTCCTGTGTGCTGAGGCTGGGGGCACAAAAAGGCACTTGGAGAGGGATTTTTTGGGATCTTTCCCCACGTTCCCAGGTTTAGGGCACAGAGAGGAACTCCAGGGTCTCCRTGTCCTCCTACCTGCCCGCCTGGAGAACTCCAGAGATGCTGAAGAGCCCGAAGTCGGTGATCACCACCTTCCCGTTGTCGTAGAAGACATTCTTGGACTTGAGGTCCTTGTGGAGGATGCCCTTGGCGTGCAGGTACCCCATTCCCTAGGATGGAACAGAGGGAGGAAAACAACCCGCAATTACAAAAGCGGCACAAACGGGAGGGATAACACCAGAGCAGGACGTTCCCATGGGATTATGGGACCATTCCCGAGCCACCACGGCATATCTGAGCAGGATCACGTCCCCAAAGGTCCCTGCAGGGAGGGAAAGTGCCCAGAGGGATCCCTGATTTGGGATGGGCTCACGGAGGGGGACGGGACGGCGGCCACTCATCTTCCTGATTGATGGATTCCGCAGGAAAAATCAGCGGCAAACCTGCCCAGCAGCCGCTTCCCGGGAATCCTCCGCTGGGAAACGGATGGTGATGATGTTCTCGCCTCCGTTTTTTCGGGGGCTGGGTGAGCAGGGTAATAAGTCAGCGCTCCCCGTCGCCCCRGCGGAGCCGCCGGCGCTTCCGACGGCCCCATCCGCCTGGAAACGGGCGCCTCGCGGGAGTCCTGCCTTAATTCCTTTCCCCCAGGAAAAATCGCTCGGCGGTTAATTAAAATTAGCGCTAATGAGGCACGAAAAGGCCATGGGTGGGAAATCCAAACTCTCCTGTTTAGCCTCGGCAAATCAAGCAGACTGCCGGCAGCTCCGCGCAGCGGATGTGCAGCGCCGCGGGATAATTCTGGGAATGGGGAGGGGGATAAAGCACATTTATCCTGACTTCAGCAGGGATTTTGATGCTGTCCCACTTTTCACTCTCCTAAGCAGACTCGGGGAAAACTCGATCCACAGGATGCTGCTGAAAGATCGGCACCCAACAGGCCGGCAAACTGTTGCTTCAGAGGGAATGTTGGTTGTCTGTCTCTGGAAAAGGGGGATTTATTAACCGGAATTCCACGGGGATCCATCCATCCTAAGCCTCATCTTTTCATCTGTCATCATTAACCACGCCGGCTGTCGGGGAAGAATTTATTTTTAAGCTGGCGGCTGATGTGGAGCCAGAAGTCACAATCTGAATTCCACCATCTGGAAAAGGTGGGGAAGCAAACAGGAAAAACACCCAAACCCAGTAAGGTATTGGGGTTTCACTGCACCCCCGTGGGGAGAAAATCCTAAAGAGTCTCTACAAAGGGATGCTGGAGGAAGGAAAAGATTCGGGGCTGGATGCCAGGACCGTTCCAGGCACCAGGATTAATTAGGGGTCTCCCAGTTCCCAGCACATGAAATAATTATGAGGTTTAAAAATCGGCTTTCCAATGTCACTGTCACCTCCAAAAAGGGCTGGGGCGGAGCAGGGAACAGCATTCTGATGTCTTTCTGGGCAGGTCCAGAGCAGGGCCCTGAGCAGGATAAATCCCAGTGCCATGGGAATGCTCTGCAGCTCCTTCCCATTGTTTGAGGGATCCCAGTGCAATATCAAAACCTTGCTCCCACATCTCCACAGAATCATCCTTTATCGAAGGAATTTCCCCAGGCAAACCCACATCCCTCTCCTCACCCTGCACAGATCCCATTGCAAATTCCAGCCCTGCCACCTCGGCCCCGGGATGATCCCTGAGGAAACACTCGGGGCCCGCTGATGCCTTAATTTGCTTGGCTGTGTGAAAAGGCAGCTCCCTCTGCCGGCACCTCTGCCCGGATAAATCATCCCTGGCCTCCGGAGGATCTGGGATAACCTTGCACCCGCTAATCCAATAATCTGAGCAGCGCTCCCGTCACATTCCAGGACTCGAGGGATAAAATCAAGCAGCTGCTGTGAGCTGGCTGCAAATCCAAAGCCTCTGGACGGCGCAGCCCCGAGCCCATCCCAACCACCGTGTTGGGATTTTCCTTCACTTCTCCACCTCCAATCCACCAAAATAYCTGCTGGAGGTTGGTGGGGAAAGGTGGGAAAGGTGGGAAGTTGCTCCTCAGCAGGAATGGGCCATGTGAGAGGGAATTGTGATGGGGCTGGACTTCTCTGGGAATTCCCTTTCAGAAAGAACAGAAAGAGCCTTTGGAGCTCGGTTAATTCCTCTGGAATTTGGGGTGGATACAAARTCCCTCTGCCTCTCAGCCCCACAGAGCTGGAGGTTTCCAACCTTTTCCTATGAAGCAGCAGCTGCAGAAAACAAGGATTTCTCATCCTCAAAACCCACATGGAGCAAGGAAGCCATGCAGGGAAAGGGGCTGAACTGAGCCGTCCTTCCCGCTGGGAACATCTGGAAGGCAAAATCCCTGAGCACAAAATAGGGGAAAAATACAAGGCTAAGCTGTGATGCTTCGAGTGTTTGCTCAGTGGGAGAAATCCATGTCTAAGAAGTGGAAAATATGCATCAGAAGTGGGAATTCAGAAGGGGAAGGCTCTGGGCTGGCTCAGGTACCCCCAGTTCAAGGTACCCCTCAAAAGAGCTCAGGCTATGCTCACCTGTCAGATCCTGCCCAGAGGCTCCAGGAGAATTGGAGGAATTTAAATTTAAAAGTTAAAACTGGGTCTAAATAAATGGAAAATTGGCAATTTAATGAGAGACAGTGTAAGTACCATGCAGGAAAAGGCACCACCCAGGAAACATTGCTGAACGTATTCTGCTTTAGAACCCCAATTTGGATATTTCAGGGGTTTAAATCTGCTGGAAAATCTGATTTTCTGTTGTTTTTCCAGAGTTAAATGTGGGATCAGCTCCAGGTTTTGGCTCTGGGGTGGAAGAGTTGAGCAGGGTACAGGGGCAYGGTAGGTCAGGCGCCAGATCCTCCCAGGGATGAATATGTTTGGGATCACAGTAAAATCCCACTCAACACCTCAGGGCCACTGCCAGCATCCCACAGGAAGGCTCAGGACCCAAATTCCCAGCCACTCCACCCTGAGTGTGAGGCTCCTTCTCAAGACTGTTTATAGGGACACGTCTGAAGCATGGAAGATGCACTTGGATTCATTCCTGGGGAAGGAGAAGCTTTTTGAGCTCTGGAAAATGTGCATGAGCTCAGCCTCGTGGCACAGGGGAATGTTTTATGRGAATGTTGGGAATGCTGGAAGTGCCCAAGGCCRGGCTGGATAAACTTGGAGCAACCTGGGGTAGTGGAAGGTGTCYCTGCCTGTGGAATAGGATGAGCTTTAAGGTCCCTTCCCAGCCAAATCATTCTTGGATTCAACATTTTTTTCCGAAAGGAGAGGAATATCCAACCAGGAGCTCCCTCACAGCAGCAATGCCAGATTTAAACACGTGAAATTCCAGCGGGGAAGAGGAGCAGGATGAACCCCAGGCATGGGGAGCCCATGGAAGCTTTGGTGCCATCCCAATTCAGCCACATGAAAGAGACAAGAAACCTGGATTTGAAAGCCAAGGAATTCTATGCCTCTCAGAATCCTTGGATTKGAAAGCCAAGGAATTCCATTCTGCACAGAATCCTTGGATTKGAAAGCCAAGTGGTTCTATCCTGCTCAGAATCCTTGGATTTGAAAGCCAAGGAATTCTATCCCTCTCAGAATCCTTGGATTTGACCAAGGAATTCTACCCCACTCAGAATSCTTGGATTTGAAAGCCAAGTGGTTCTACCCCACTCAGAATTCTCAGATTTGAAAGCCAAGGAATTCTATCCCACAAAGAATGTTTGGATTTGAAAGCCAAGTGGTTCTATCCCATTCAGAGTCCTTGGATTTGAAAGCCAAGGAAATCTATCCCACTCAAAATGTCTGGATTTGAAAACCAAGTGGTTCTATCCCACTCAGAATCTTTGGATTTGAAAGCCAAGTGGTTGTATCCCGCTCAGAATCCTTGGATTTGCTCCTCTCCCAGTTCCCACAGCGATTCAGCCCATTCTCTGCCGGATCCAGACCTCCCCAGGTCGTACCTTCACTATTTCTTGTGCTATTTGCCTCGTCTTGTTGACGTCCAGGACGATTTTGGCATCCCTCACCACTGAGTAGAGAGTCCGTCCTTTGCACAGGCTGCAGGAGCAGGRAAAAGGGAAAGAGAAGTTACAAACCCTCCCGGAGAAAAACCCCCAAATCATAAAGTGAGGAATTGTAAACAATTGCAGGATTTTGGCCCCTTGGCTCGAGGCAGATTGAAGATTCCACAGGGAACTGGGGSCTCTCCCAGTTTGGCGCTGGGAGGGAGCTTTTGTCACTCCTGGAGAGTGTTGGTGGCACCACCGTGKTGCCATAAGGGACAACCTGGGCTGGCTCCTGGCTGGAAAAAACCCAGGAGCCTGGAAAAAACCACCTGGTCCTCCCCATTCCGAGCTTTTGTGCAGGACTGGCCATGGCTCCCCCCTCCTCCTCTTCCTCCCTCAGGCTGCAAAGCTCCCAGATGTAAAATGAGTCAAAAGAGGAAAGACAGGGGAGGGAAAAAAAAAATCCCCCAAACCCAACCCCACACGCTGTACAATGTCCTCCAATTTTCCTTCTCGTACCAATTACAGTAAAATCTATTTACAGAGCCTTAATTACCAAAGGCAGCTGGATATGGGGGGGGGAGGGGGGAGATGGATATAAACCAATTAAAAATATATTGACATTTGAATATCATAATGGAGGACGTGGGCGGCTGCTGCCTCGACTCCCGCCCACCAAAAAAAAGAGATTTTTTTTTTTTTTTTTTGCTTTTCTCTATCCGCCCACGCTCATTCCGGGCGACTTTGGAAAGATGAGACTGGGTACCTGTGCCTGGGAAATCAAACACCCATCAGAGCCTCGTTAAAGAGGTTTGGTGACGGCAGATGTCGATTGGATTAGAAAATTAAAAGTTCCGGGGTTTCGTTCCGCTCGGCTCTGCTGCTTTGTCCTCACCCAGTTCCTCCTGCCCTGGGAATTCCTAACTGGTTTGGATTYATCCCCCAGGAGAGGTTTTGTCCTTTTTGAGGTGAAAATCATCACAGAATCATAAAAGAATCRTAGAATGGGTTGGGTTGGAASGGACTTCAGGACCATTTGWYTCCWGCTCTCTGCCAGAGGCAGGGACACCTTGGACAGGGCTTGGAGCAYCCTGGGATTGTGGAAATGTYCCTGCCCATGGCATGGGGTGGAATGGGATGAGCCTTAAGGTCCCTCCCAACCCATTCCATGAGCCCATGAAACTCAGAAGAGCCCCAAACTCCAGAAGCTCAYGAATACGAAGGACTCTCCTGCTCCTAAAACCAATCCATGGGCAGAAAGCAGGATTTCCAGGACAAGCAGCGAAGCAGGAATGGGATCAATCCCACACAATTCCATATCCCACAGATTTTGGAAAGACAGCAGCACCCTTCAAAGCATTTCCTCACTGGGAGTGCTGGAAATTGCCCTGCTGGACACAACTGAGATGCAGCAGGGATTTAGGGCAGCAAGTGCTCCCTCAGAGATGGTTTTCCTTGCTCAGGAGTCCCGGCACATCCCAGCTGGATTCAACCCCGAGGCAGCTGCSACACCAAACCATCTCTCCCTCTAAACCATCCTCCCTGCTACAGTCTGGCTGCAGTTAAATAGGAATTTGCTGGAGATTAGGATCCAAGCATTCAGAAATCAGTGATAAAATCCTCGGGTTTCAGTAACCAGAACGAATTAAATCGTGCAGAACAACGCAGGGCGCAAATTCTCCTTCCACCACCTTTATTTTTCTGCACTGATTTGCTACAAAAACCCACCAGGCTTTCAGCTCTTCCACACAACAGCCTTCCGCCACCTCCGTGACCTGTTTGCACACACAGGAGTTCCCCCAGCCCTTCCCAATCCCCGGAAAACGCGTTTTCTCCCAGAGAAAACCATTTCACGGCCAGTTGCCTGTGATCTGAATTGGCCACAAATTGACACTGGAAATGCAATGAGTGGATTAGCRCTGGAACGGGGCTGGATTTCAGCCCTAAAGCCAGTTAAGATCAGCTGTTTTCCTGGGAAAGGGTTGTTTAGAGGAAAATCCTCGCCTTTCTAACTGTCTGAACCGCTGAGATAACCCCGAGAGAGGAGCTTGTGGCCCTTCACTGATGAGATTCCCATCTTTCCACTCCATTTACAGGATTTCCAAATGCTTTCCAATGGACAGAGCGGCCACAGGAGAGTAGCCGGACCCGGGGTGGTGGCACCAGGTCACATCACTGTCCCCTCTGCTCCTCAGAGCCATCAAAGCGGCCCAGGTGCTTCTCCCCTTTCCTCGCTGAATGACAGCTCCGAACAAATCCACCGAGCGCCCGCCGCATCCGACCTTTCCTGYTGGATAAGGAGCTGCCAACGCGGAGATAAAGCCCGGTTGATACCTTTTGTGCAGCACCTGAGCCCATTCAGCCGCCACCTGCGGAACCTTTTCACAGCACAGCTCAACAATCCCGCTTTCCCTCGCTCCCCGATCGCTCCCCGATGGCGTTGGACAAAGAGCAGCGCGCGCTCGGAGCCCTCCGCCTCTCCTCTTGGAGAGGTCCTCGCTGAGCATGGCTTTGAGGTGGGGTGTGGGTGACAAGGCCACAAAAAACGCCTCCGCTCGGTGCCGAAAACAAGGCAGCTGATTTGCATCTTCAGGTGGATCGCGGCTCATTCAGCGCTGAAGTGGAAATTCATGAGGAATTCTTGTCTTCAACTCCCCAAACTTCTCCGTCCCACCTGGCGGCAGAGTGGTGGGTCTCTGTTCCGGGTGCTTTAGAAACTCCACAGCTCCCGAGGTGTTTCACAAAATGGAAAACTGAACCAGGTTGGAGGAGCAGCAAAGGGAGAGGTTTGGGTTTGTTTTTATCCCAAGGYTTTGTTTTCCTCTAAATGGATGAGGAATTTCACYCCCTTCACTCCCTRCCAAGGCCAGATTGATGACACCTGCCCCGGTGCCACGAGATGACCAAATGCCATCCAGAGCTGAGGGACAGCAGGGACAGAGATGCAGAGATTCTTTCTGGGGTTCTCAGGAGTGCACCACATCCACATCCCGGTGCCTTCCCCAGCACCAGGACAGGCCTGACCCCATCCTGCTGCAGATGCCACTCTCAATTCAAAATGAGTTTTTGAAGTGTTCAGCCAAGCAAGCCAAATCCCAAATTGCTTTATAAACACTCTGCATTCCCAACGTGGGCTGGAGACATCAGCAGCAGGCGCCAAGCCAAGGCGGCGCACAGAGGAACGATTYGGGACGAGGGAGGAAGAGCTGGAGCGCTGCCTCTTGGTGTTTCTGCTGTTCCAGGGGAAAACAGATTCATCTGACTGTCATCCTTTGGGGGTTCTTACCCCTCTGTGCCATACTGATGGGCATTGTCTCTGTATTGATGGTCATTGTCTCCGTATTGATGGGCATTGTCTCTGTATTGATGGGCATTGTCTCTGTATTGATGGGCATTGTCTCTGTATTGATGGCCATCATCTCTGCACTAATGGTCATTGTCTCTAAACTGAGGGTCTTCTCTGCATTGATGGTCATCATCACTATACTGGTGGTCATCACCTCTACACTGGTGGCAATCACCTCTACATTGATGGCCACCACCTTTACACTGATGGTGCTGGTCATCATCTCTACACTGGTGGTCATCACTTCTACAATGATGACCATCACCGCTACATTGATGGTCATTACCTCTACCTCGATGGCCAACACCTCTACACTGGTGGCCATCACCTCTCCCTTGATGGCTATCACCCCTATAATGGTGACCATCACCTCCACATTGATGGCCATTGTCTCCACATTGGTGGCCATCACCTCTACGCTGGTGGCCACTACCTCCATGTTCATGGCCAACATCGCTATATTGATGGCCATTGTCTCTACATTAATGGCCACCACCTCTACAGAAGTGGCCATCACGTCTACACTGATGACCATCACCTCTACCTTGATGGCCATTACATSTACCCTGATGGCCACCACCTCTGCWTTAATGGCCAYTGTCTCTACACTAGTGGCCACCACCTCTGCACCAATGGCCAACACCTCTACACGGATGGTGTCACCTCCACACTGGTGGCCACCACCTCTATGCCAGTGGCCAACATTTCCACATCTGCAGCCCAATCCCTGCTCGAGCTCAATCCCTGCAAGATCATCCTGAGCTGTTAGCCTAGCAGCTACACGGCACATTCCATCACTCACAGAGCTCTGTGCTCCCCTTYCCTCTTCCCAGCCATCCACCCAAACGCCCGCTCAATTAAAGAGGAGATAAACGCCAGACCCCGGGAAGTTCATCCCTTGCCGGGATATGGATTTATAGGGGAAGCAGCTCGGATACCATGGTGACAGTCAGCACCACAGACCCAGGGGAGACACTGGAGAAGAGAGCGAGGTGGGGAATTAATAAAAAATGCTTTAATATAAAAATACCTCTGCTCCCAGGTTACCTCTGTGCTGGAGGAAAGACATGGCAAAGGATGCTTGGATGCTCCCACATTCCCCAGCAGTTTCCCCACTTAGAGATTTTCATGGAAAAAAGGACCCTTTGGGGAATGTTAAGAAAGAAACAGCAACAGGAACCACTGAGCCGGGACTTATTTGATTTCATTTGAGCAGGACCAGAGAGGGGAAGAAGAAGCTCAGTGCATTCCGGCACGTTCCTGACTTATTTGGGAAGTTTTGCAGCTGTTCCCATATATTGGCTTGTTTTTCTCTTTTCCCGGTGTCTGGCAACAGTGCTTTAGAAACTCCACAGCTCCCGAGGTGTTTCACAAAACAGAAAATTGAATAAGGCTGGAGGAGCAGCAAAGGGAGAGGTTTGGGTTCATTTTTATCCCAAGACTTTGTTTTCTCTAAATGGATGAAGATTTTCACCCCCTTCACTCCCTGCCAACACCAGAACAGCAGAGCAGTGGAAGCATCCACCCTGAGATTCCTGAGCCCTCTGCATCCAAACATCATGACCAGGGAGCGAAAATTAGGATATCAGGGAAAATTTCTTCACTGCCAGCGTTGTCAAGCCCTGCCACACCCCTGGAGGATTTAAAAGATGTGTGGATGTGGCGCATGGGGACACAGGACAGTGSTGGCCATGGCAGTGCTGGGG